CAGCTCATTGTACTCACTATACTCATATCTGGCTACATAGATTTGAGCTAACCCCTCTCCCCAAGCCTCACTTTCCTGACCTGGGCAGTGAGTATTATTACATCTGAGGAGGAGGTATATTTGACATTCAGAAAAGTTCTTGGTCATCATTCAATGGCAGTAGTGGCATGACTGGCATTATTGATGAAGGTGACATTTTATAAATTCCACGTGGGGAAATCATGAACCTATTCCTGCCATTATCTCCTCCCTTATAAAGTTGGAATACTAATAAACTCTGTCACAAGATTGTTGTGAGGGTCACATGGATTTTCACAGGTAACACATAAACACATGTTTTCAAAGCTGCTGGGCACAGGCAAGTATTATATGAATGTTGACATCTACTGTTTTTGTTTATTTATCATGGTGCTTCAGACAGAAGGAACTTTTAGAGCAGCTTGAATAAACTCCATATTTAGGAGCCTTCATATCTTTTTTTGCTGTGTTCTCTGTCTGGGACACAACTTCCCACTTACTTATGTCAAAGCCTTAGTAAGTTTTTCCTCCTTTGGTTATATCACCATTGGTGCTGTTATTGGAATCTCCTGGCTATGTCAAAATGTTACTGGGCAGCTCCTTCTAAAAGAGCTCACCGATTCAACATTACCAGGTTATGGGTTGCTCACCTCTCCACCTGCAGTTAGAGTTCAAGTTCTTCTCCTCTCCAACCAAAAATTGAATGAAATGTGAAAAAAGCAGTGGCAGGGTTTTACTTGAAAAAGTAAATGTGAAGATGGAGAAACTACCTCTGCAGAACACAGCTGGGCTGAGACAGAAGAGCATCATGGAGAAAGCAGCGTGGGCTGGCACGGGTGCTGAGAGGGGAGCTGGGACCCCACACGTCAAGCCGACATTAGGTCTAGGCCAACTTATTGAAAACCTGCTTGAGTGCTCGCTTCGGCAGCACATGTTCTCAAATTGGAACAATACAGAGAAGATTAGCATAGCCTCTGCACAAGAATGACATGCAACTTTATGAAGCGTTCCATATTAAAAAAAAAAAAAAGAAAAGAAAAGAAAGAAAGAAACCTGCTTGAGTTCTTGTGAGAAGCACACACGCAGGGCTTTGGGACCTGTTCTGCGCTTGTGCACCAGGATCTTGTCATTGAGATGTCACACCTACTTCTCCAGCCAGCCTGCTACACCTGGTCTCCTATGTCAATACCAGTGAAATTCTTCCTTTGCCCTCTAATCAGGACTTCATGTGACCTCTCTTAAGGCATCAATTTCTGGCTATGTGTTAAAGGATTCTCTCTGTCTCTCTGTCTCCTTCTCTCTCCGCTTCTTTTTAGCTTGAGATGGGGTCTTGCTAAGTAACTAGGTTGCCAAGGCTCAGAATGAATTTACCAGTCTCCTACCTAAGGTTCCAGAGTGCTAGTATTCAAGATGTGTTGCACACCCACTTTGACTTAGCAACTGTCTAAGCTATCACAGCAGACCTCAGCACTGACAGTATGGCTATTATTGTGGTGGTAATGGTGGCATTGTACAAACTGCATAGCAACAGATGGGCAAATAATCAACCTCTGTGATGCAGGGAACATTTAGGGCATAGCAGACTCCAATAGATATCAGTTATCCTAAAGAGGAAGTCAAGGTCATTTTTAGTAGAAACTAGATAAGATCCACTTGGAGTCAGGGAAAGTGACCAACTAATCTCTTTGGAATCTGATTGCTTTGTAATCATGACTCAAAATAAATGCACTAATATGGACCAACACCCACAATAAAGGAAGTGCTGATGGTTAACTTCCTTTGGAGGGAAAGATCTTACCACACCAGTGGTGTTGTTGGCTGATATGGAAGGAAAAGCACAGTGGGATTTTAGCAAGGACAGGGGAGGGGGTGCTAAGGAGGCCTCCTTGGGGTTAACTTGTGGGAACACAATGGGCCAACTGCTTCCAAAGCTGGGAGGGCAGGGAGGACAGGCAGGAACCTTGCCCTCGGATGAGATGTTTTACTTATTTCTGGGATACAGATAATATAGTAACCAACTCAAGCTCTCCTCCTGTTCACTTGCAAACTGCTATGTTTTAAGGACTCTTCCTTGGTCAGCATTTTTTGAGAATATTCTTGATTTCAGGACTAAAATGAACAATAGCTACTGTCCTTCCTGGGCATCCTGAGTGCAAGGCCTCTAACAAGTGACCCCTGAGAGTCTGTCCAGCTTAGAACCACAGGAAGGGGCAGATGCCCAGCTAATGACTTCACGGTTTTGCTCAAACGTCCCCTTGACTTCACTTAACATTGCAGCTTGCACCTGCTCCTCTGTACTCCCCAGGTCTTTTAACAGCCCTTCCCACCTTCTAATATGCTGTGTGATTAGCTTAGCAAGTATACTTATGTGTTTATTTTATTTTATTTATTTGAATTTGGGGGGTAGCATTGAAACAAGATTAAGGCTTGGCAAAAGCTAGCTGGAGAAGTAGGGGGGTAACTTGTTAGTGACAAGATCCCAGATAAGTGGGCAGAACGGCCCCTAAAGTCCTCCATGTGAACTTCCAGAGAATTTGGGCAGGTTTTCAATAGTATGGCCTAGACCTGACCTTAGCCTGAGGCACAAGATGCCGGTGCTGCCTCTCAGAACCTGTAGGTAGAGGGTTTTTTTTATTTTTTATTTTTTTATTTTTTTTTTTTTAGGGAAGGGTCTACAAGGTGTTCAGGGTCTCATTGCTAGATCCGACTCATAGTGATCTGCCTGTTTACAGCCTCCCAAGAGCTAGGATTACAGGCGTGCATCACCATGCCCAGTCTCAATTGCTGTCTCAGCATGCCCCAGGGACAGGGCCAGCACAGCAGGCCAGGGGAGAGAACCCCCAGCCCCTGTGCCTGCTTGCAGGCACTTTAATAGGCTGAGCTGTTTGGCCAGCCCTTAGGTAGATGTTCTGATGAGTTTCCTCAAGATTAAATCCATGAAGGCTTTGCTATCAGTACTTCCTATGAGTGCCTCACTCTCTTTTTGTGTCTTTGCTTGGTTCAAGTTCCCTCTGCAGAGACAGTTTCTCACTCTTCACTTTTACTTTATTGAATAAACTTCACCACTGCCTTCTGTTCATTTCAACAACTCTTTGTTTAAGAAGAGAAGAACCTGAACTCCAACTCCAGAAGAGGAGTTGAGAAACCTGAACTTGAACCTAATGTCTAGTTGGCTAGCCACTTCTCAGAAATAAGCTTCTTCCTAACAGGGTTCTGCCATGTTCAGGCTGATCTTGAACTCATTACATAGCTCAGGCTGTCCTCAAACTTACAAGGATCCTCCTGCCCCAGCCTCCTGAGTGCTGATGTTTCAGGCATATGTCACCACACGGGCGATGCTTAGTTGCTGCCTATCATTGCTCTACCTTCCAAAAGGTAAGAGTCCACAAGAACGAGGATCTCTGGCACTTGCACTCATTGGTGTTCCCTTGAGCCTACACAGAGCCTGGTTCATGAGCACACTGCGTGACCTATCAGTCATAGGCAAGCAACCCTTTGTGTCTATGGGTTGGGCAGGTGTGGAGTAAACCAACCTTGAATTGAAATCTAGAGAAAAAGAAGGCATCTATCCTGAATACAGGCCAACTTTTTCATTAGGATTACTCATTAAATACAGTATAACAGCTATTTGAATCATACTTTGTTTTGGAATGACAAGTAATCTAGAGATGCTTTAAAGTAAGGGGGGCTGCTGGGGAGATAGCTCAGGGACACAAGCATCTACCTGGCAAGCACAAGGTCCCAGGTTCAATCCCCAGACCTGCATGCAGTGCCCTCATCATGCAAGCCCCCAGAATCAGATGTGGTGGTGCACGCCTGTAATCTCAGCACTTGGGAACTTGAGACAGGAGGATGACTATGAGTTCAAGACCAGCAAGGGAGCTACAGAAGTGAGCATAAGTCTGGCTCAAACTGTATAGCAAGACCCTGTCACAAAAAAATAAATAAACAAGGAACCACTAACCATATAATCATGTCTATTCAGCCTATCTTCAATGAATACTTAGGCTGTTTGGTTTTTTTTATTATTATTATTATTTTTTTTTTTGGTGGAACTGGGGATTGAACTCAGGCCCTTGCGCTTGCCAGGGAAGTGCTTATTCCACTGAGCCATCTCCTTGGCCCCAGGTTTTGTTTGTTTAACACATGTTTCATGGTCACTGAGGCCATCTTCACACTCCTGAGCTCAAAAGATCTTTCTGTTTTAGCCTGCCAAGTGGCTGGGACTACAGGAATGTGCCACCATGCCTAGCCAGAGTTGGCAAATTTTTGCTGGTAAAAATATAGCATGTTGAACATCCTCATAGAAATATCTTTATGTAATTGTGTGCTTGTGTTGTAGAGCAGGTTCTTATACAAACATTGTTTTGGTGAGTCAAAGGGTAGCCACAGCATGAATTTAGTAGGGATTATGAGACAACCCTTCCAAAAAAGCTCTGTATTGATTTATTCTCCCACCAATGTTATTTAAGAGAGCTCAGTAAGAACTGATGAAATTGGGGCAGGTGTGGGAAAGGTCGTAACTCTCCCACACTCCAGAACTGTTGATATTTGCAGCGACAAGACCTTTGTGTTGAATGAGATGCAGTTCATCTAGTTCTTAACCAACTCTTACCCAAGACAGTGATTTTCTGCAATGCACCCTCACTTCCAGTCCTTCTCCTGTCAGAGACTGGCATGAAATGCCCCCCTTCAGTTTTCATAATAGAGCACCATTGAGAGGGATCTTATTACTTCCAGTAAGTTTATTGTATAAGTAGGCCAAATCAGCCTTTCTGCAACCCATTCCACATCTCCTAGCACCATTCTCAAGAGCAAAACAAAAGAGCTAATCCTTTTTCTGCATGACAGCTCTTAAAATATTTGAAGACTGTATCAAATGTCTCTTGGCATTCTCCTTCCAGGATAAACCTCCCAAGCCCTGGTCAGACACATCCCTAGGCTATGACAGTGCTAATCTGCAGGATGAGAGCTCAGCAGTCTGGCACAATAACTGGAGGGGCTCCTAAGGTTGGATTCAAGGGCCTACTCCCACCCTTTGCAGTTGTCTGACTTTGGCCAATTCACTTCTGAGACAATAGTTTCTTCCTGTAGAAGACAACAGTACTTACCTGGTAGAGTCTCTGGCTGGAGCACAGCATGGCTTTGTAGGTGCCTTTCCTCCATAGCAGTACAATACAATGGCTAAATCCTGGAAGCAGCCTCTTCACCGTGTATGTCCATCAACAGATACGTGGATTTTTACCACACAATAGAGCACTCTGTGACACAAAGAATACATGTAAGTCGTTTATAGGAAGATAGATGGATTTGTAGGAAGAAGGATGCACCTTGAGGCCATCATATTATGCAAAATAAGTCAGACACACAAATTTAAATACTACACACTTTCCTTATTTTTTAAAATCATTTATTTATTTATTTAGTACAGGGGTTTCAGGGCTGACAGCATGCAGTATCGGTGGTCAAACTGAGGTCCTTGTGCTTGCCAGGAAGGCAGTTAGATGGCCAAACTATCTTCCCAGCCCCAAGATTTCTTTTATATGAGAAGCCCAAGCTGTAAAAAAGCAAAGAGAAAGACAGGTAATAGGAACTAGGGAGAATGATCTTTTGCCTATGAGAAAAGGATGAGGAGCTGGATGGAGCAGGGAAGAGGGGTGGGAAAGGGATGCAGAGAGAATCAAGATGTGCTATGCAAGTGTACCAGCTCTCCAAGAGGAATGTACCCATCATGTACTGTAGGCGTGTACTGAGAAAAAAATAAAAGCTGATAAAAGGAAAAGTCATTATATGCCTTGATTGCCATGGAGTACAAAAGAGAATACATAAGAGATAATCAAATTATATAGTTTTTAATTTTTTTTTAATTTTAGTACAGTAAAAGACATTGCTGTTAATCCCTCTCAGAATACTCCTCTTTGCTTTAAACACGCTCATCCATCTTTCTTGCCCCTTTCATTATCAATTCTTTCTCTCCCTCCCTCCTTCTCAGCCTCTAGTGACCACTACTCTATTCCTT